CATTTATAGCTATCAACTCCATAAATGTAAGAGACTTTGAAAAACATAACAAAAGCCTGGCAACTTAAAAAACTGGCGACTCTAGGATAAGAAGATTATCAATTAAAAAAAGATAGAAAGGAAAAATTTGATATGTAAAAGTCAAAGTGTGAAGGCTGCAACAATGTGTACATCGGGCAAATGAGAAAATCGCTCGATTAGAGAATAAAGGAACAGTACAACGCTTATCGATTAAAAAACTCAAATTCAGAAATCCCAACCCTTTATCATTTTTACTCTATATGTATAAACATTCAACACTACCTACACCCGTTTATGTTTTTTTCCAATTGATGAAGCTACAAGGTAGTGAAGCAATCGTAGTCATAAAATTTAATATTAAATTGCTTGAAAGTCAACACGAGTTAGTTTTTAAAATGGAGATAGTAAAGTGCTCAGTAATCATTAATAATAAATACATATTTCAAATTTTTCGAAGCCCGAGAACTTTTCAATCTCTCCTTTCCTTGGGCATGTAACCAGAATGACTCCGGTCTCTGGCAGGCAATATAGACTTGTTTTACAAAGTATACGACACGCTATAAAAAAGCAGCTGGCATGTTCGCCGTGTACTTCATATGCTTTTCATAAGTAACTGCATACACTAAACTGTTCTAATAACAGTAAATTTGTTATGTCTGAAGAGAGCACAGGTCGAATGTACTTGCTACATGGCTCTACTAAAAGCATAACGCACACGTCAGCCGTCTGACCCGCTGTCCCGTGTAACATAAAAGTGGGTATTTCTTTCGAATTTAATTAATGATAAAATGTAATTTAAACGAAAATATAGACACAATAAAATTTCCTTGAATGGGAATTCAAATCTTTCTTTAAAAACGTTAAGCATAGGGTTACCATCAGTCCAAATATTGGGTCTGTTTCCTTCTTCAAATTTATTAGCTTGCAAACCAAAATGCAAAAAATGTGAACTAGGTGCGACTCGACAGGTTCACACGACCAACTTCCCGGTGGAAATGTAATGTTCGCGGGTTTAACAAAATTAACTTCTAAGACTGACAACGCCAAAAACTATTTATTTACACTAATTATTAAAGAACTTAAAAACACTATTAAATTATTACTAAACTTAGGTTATGAATTATTCTATTTATTTACACTACTGTCGATATATCACTATTCACTGCGCTATTTATTTCACTGTTATCACTGTCAATTTATTTCTGGATTCGTTTCTGCAACGGTCAATTTATTTCTGATTATCTCGACGATCGTCTCTTCCTTTGAATACGCTTTTGTTTACTTTCTGGAACCTTCTGGAAACATCCGGAGAGTTTATTTTTTTTCTTTGAACTGTTTAATTATTTTTACAGAACGCAGGTACAACACACACATTTACAAATACGGCACACATGAAGAAAGGCGCTCGCGGCTAGTCGGCGAATCGATAAGCCGTTCACACACACGTGCGCCTGATCGCACACAAACACACTCGTGCTCGCTACAGNGTCGCCTTCAATAAAAAGAAGTCACTTCTATGCTCGCGAACGATTAATTTAGAAATTCGAAAAAGATTGTTAAAGGTGTATGTTTGGAACGTGGCGTTGTACGGGTGCGAAACATGGACGGTGGGCGCGGCGGAAAAGAAAGGATTAGAAGCGTTCAAAATGTAGTGTTACAGGCGAATGATGGGGGTAGTGTGGATAGAGAAGGTTACAAATGACGAGATATTAGAAAGGATAGGAGAAAAGAGGACTCTACGGTGTCAATAAAAAATAGGCGTGATTGGTTGGTAGGACACCTTCTTTTGAAGGTCTAGTCATAGACTTATTAGAGGCAGAAACAGGAGTTAAGAGGAGTAAAAGTAGACCCAGGTTAGATTACTGTTCGCAAATAGTTAAAAATGTGGGTTGTTCTAGTTTTCGGGAAATGCGAAGATTAGCTCAGGATAGGAAAGAGTGGAGGTGCGTGTCCAACCAGTCTTAGGACTTACGACCTTATGCTGATGATACAAAATGTTCCTAACATGCAATAATAATAATAATACTCAAAAGATGCTTGGATTTTGCGTTAATACATAGTGAAATTTATAAATGTGATCTGAACTTCGACTTCATCTTAGAAAACCAAAATAATGACAAATATGGTATCATTTGAAACATAACATTTCTACAAAAGGAGGCTGAAGAATACCTTCCCCTCTACTCTTCGGCTTTGCATTAGATTGTAGGTCAGAGGGACTGCCATCCCTCCAACATTAGCAGCAGGAGGGAACGGCACATACAAAACATTTTTTGTCATGCTTGTAAACAAAACGAATCCAAATTTAACTCGATTAAAAAGTAGTTTTTCCTAACTGGTTATAGTAACTTTGTAAAAGGCTTCATATTTACAATCAATGTCCTTTTTTATAATTATTCTATTTTCGTTGCACCACACATTAACTAATTTACCTTTTTTCTTTCGCCTTTTAAAGTAGTTCACTTTATTACTTATTCACAGTCGACTTGACAGTGACCGACTTTTTGCGAAACGAAAAAATTACAATCACGCTCAACTATTACATGAATAATTCACAAAAGAAAATTTGTCAAAAGCGTGAGAATATCTAAATGATTTGTAGATAGTCTTCCGCTACCAGATAAGTGTCTAGAACGAATCCACGGCTGCGGCATTGGTTTTCTTTATTATCCTCTATTTCAATGTTTCTTTTGAACTTACTATTATGCAAATGTCTAAATACGTAATAATTTCCACAAATGTATTACGGCGTAACATAAATTGTCATAAGCCGCATTCTTCCTCAAATAAAAAAAAAATATTGAACTGAAAGCTTGAGAAGTTTCAATAAAAGCTTTTCTCTAAAATTTATAATCCTAGTGTGAGGTCTCGCGTTGTCTTGGTGAAACACTACACCTTTTCTGTTGATTAGTTCTGACCTTTTCTGTTGAAGTGCATCATTCAGTTTGTCCAGCTGATGACAGTAGACTTCCGAATTAATCGTTGTGTTATCCGGTAAAAGCTCAAAAAAAACGATTCCTTTAAAATCCCACCAAACAGACAGCATCACCTTTTTTTGGTGAATATCGGCTTTGGAAATGGTTTGAGCCGGTTCATCTTTTTTGCTCCATGACCTCTTGCGTTTGACGTTGTTGTATACAACCCATTTTTCGTCCCCAGTGATGATGCGCTTCAAAAACGGATCATTTTCGTGACGTTTGAGAAGCGAATCGCAGACGTCAATGCGGCGACACAGATTTCTCTCTGTGAGAACATGGGGAACCCATACATCGAGCTTCGAGGATAATCCCAGGCCTTTCAAGTGGTCATAAACTGTTGAATTTGATAAATTTAACCTCAATCCGATCTCACGTGTTGTTATTCGCCGGTTCACATCAACTAATGCCTTTATCGCGTCTTTATCAGCTTCAACCGGCCTTCCCGAACGTGGTGCATCTTCGACATCAAAATTGCCGGATCGAAATTTAGCGAACCAGTTCTGGCACTGGCGTACTGTCAACACACCTTCTCCATACACATCAGTCAATTTCTTTCTGGCTTGAACAGCATTTTTACCCTTTCTGTAGTAAAACAGTAAGATATGTCGAAAATGCTGCTTATCGCTCTCCATATTTAAAAGGGCACCAACCAAAAACTACTGCGTAGAATTAATTGGAATTTTTCACACACAAGCCTTGCTATATGCGCTCTCAAAGCATATAAAAATTATACGGCTTAAATGTCAAGTTGGGTGCAAAAGAATACAATTAAATCGTCTGTCGGGAAAAAACGAAATGACTTTCCGAACAACCCTATAAACCTATGAAGCAGATGCAGCCGATCACCAGATCAACTAAAAACAAAAGTCCGGGGGCAAGTCGCAATCGGCGGTGTCGCAAATATGTCATCATTTCACTGAAGCTGCGGCAAAATCGCAAATATATCAGCAAACTTAGGAATAATTCGAATTCTATTAGATATCATTTGTGACAATAAGAAAGTTATTGTCTTTTAAGGCACCAAGCTCAAATTTAACATACAGGCGGAATCAATTTGTACGACTTTAATTAGTTTAAGCCAATTAAAAACAATTGTTCCAAGTTATGAATCTCTATACAAAACAATTCCAAATACCGCCCGGGACTAATTAATTATCAATTAAACGTGCCAGTAGAATAACATAATTAATACATACAATTAATGTCCGATAATTAAAGCATCATTAATAATTTGACTAATTACCAATTGTTCGTGATCAACACCTAATTAAAATGTGGTACCAATACGTGGCGTAGGCTTAAAGTGCAGCAGAACAATCCCCTATTCCAACTCTAAATTGCGATGTAACTTTTACTACACCTCAGTCAATTTAAGAAGGCGAAGCTCCGGAAAATTTGATTTACTGAAGTGAGCAATAACTATATAGAATATATTAGATTAAAATCGTCACCTTTTGTTCCGATTCTTTATTTCATACTTAGCCATCTCAATCTGATTGGATTTCCATAAATAATTCGGTAAACTGCAGCAAAAAAACTTGGATTGTTTAAAATAAAGTAGTAAATCAAAAACGCACACGTCACGCCATCTACAGTAGAAAAGTTTGTATTGTCTCCCACTCGTTCAAGTTATACCTATCGAGAAAGAATTCTTGCAGACAACCGTTTATAAGGATTAACCTGTTAGGATAATCATTGTGAGATTTCGACTATAGTGGTTATAAATTTATAGAAAAAAAAACTGTGTGCTGTCAAGAATGGAGGTGCGTGCCCAACCAGTCTTACGACTGACGACTTCATGATGATGATATATTTTTATTTGGTTATTCACAACTTGACCGGACTACCTTAAACAGCAATGAAGCCATATAAATTTAAAAAAGGGTTAAGGATGTTTAGGAGGTACAATCGGAGACGAGAGTACATAATATTAGAAATTCGAGATTAATTAGGTTTTGCAGCATATCATGAGGAAAATAAATATTATCTATGGGACCTCACCTCTTTCACTGGCGTCGTCCACCAGGATTATCTCCCGTAGGAGCGGCCGTGGGGAACGGTTAATTACACTCCACACGGTCCTTAATAACGTAGACCACGCTTCATTGTGGAAGACAATAACAATGGATGTTGATGGAAGAAGCTTTGGATATGTTTTGTCCTTACATCTGTAACAATAGAATTAGGAGTTAGAAAAAGACACACTTCATCAGGCAATTAAAGCGTTAAAAATAAATTTAAGTAAAAAAAACCTTCATGAATTTTTATATACTGTAGCGAACACGAGCGTATTTGTGTGCGATCGGGCACACGTGTGCTTGAACGGCTTATCGATTCGCCGACTAGCCGCGGGCACCTTTCTTCATGTGCGCCGTATTTGTAAATGAGTGTGTCGTACCTGCGTTCTGGGAAATCAGTTAAACAGTTCAAAGAAAAGAATAAGCTATCCGAATGTTTCCAGAAGGTTTCCGAAAGTGAACAAAAGAGAATTTAAAGGAAGAGACAATCGCCGAGATAATCAGAAATAAATTGACCGTTGCAGAAGTAAATCCAGAAATAAATTGATAGTGATAGCAGTGAAATAAATAGCGCAGTGAATAGTGATATATCAACAGTAGTGTAAATAAATAGAATAATTCATAGAAATATGTGCGCAG